TACTAATCCCCCAAAATGAATGCAATTATTATACACTTCAAACATATACCAAAATAACAACAGCAGCAATAATAATAATAATAACAATTACAACCAGCAAGGACTCCAGCCCCAGGCAGCACTTCGGCGTGGCAGTTCCCTGGGGAAACTTTCATGGCAATCATAGAAACCGTCCAGCAGCCATTTCTGGAAATGTCTTTCTGGGGATGGGGGGGGGGGGACTGGCAGAAAAGGAAACCTGTTCCTGCAAAAAGAGAGAGCTTCAATTTCCGCTCCGGTTCGCGCAGGCTGAAGACAGGTGGAAGACTGTGTGAAAGGGATACGGAGCTCGGCAGAGGAAAGAATGTTCTACCAGCAAACGAGTGTCCTCTGGACCCTGGACCCAACCTGTCAGGCAGCCTGCAGACCGAGAATTTATGGATGTGTTTTCGATTTCTCTGACAGAATCTGTTTGGACTGAGGACAGCTGTTTAATCTTTGAAATATGTGTTCCATAACAAACGCTGGAATCACATATAAATCGCTCCTTTCATTCTGTGAGCCAAAGCCTGACTAAAGGGGTTTGCAAATCCCCACAAGGTGCTCTTGCTTATTGCGCACTCGGAAAGAGAAAAAAAAATTCTTTAATGAAATGCAATGTTGAGGAACTGCCAAAAGTAGATGCTCCCTATCTGCCTTCACATATGGTAGCGTCTTTCTAGCCAATTAACTACCAATGAACTGAGGAAGAGCCGTAAAACGGGACATGCGCAGTGGGCCTGGGCACAGATGGAAGTCTCTGATCCTGACTCCATCCACAACGGCTCAGGAAGCCCAGCATGACCCAGACTTTCATTTACAAGACCATTCTTCTTTGCCTTAGCTAAATCCCCAGAATTAAGACTGATGGGTTATCACCTTTGTGACAAATCCTGTTTGTTCATTTTCTGCCTCTGGCTTTTATCTACACCATGGTAAAGGGAAATATCCAAGGTCCACAAAAGGTTATTCTTTCGTGAGTTTTGCCAATAGAGTCATTTCTCCATTAACACCATGCTGGAGAGTTGTTTGTCTGGTTTTGGTGTGGAACCGTAATGGGTATGGGCATTTACATTGTCTGAAAATAAGCAACATATACCCATTCTGGAATTTTATGAATTCTTACTCCAAATTTCAAACTGATCAAGGAATGGTTTGGTATCTGTGTATGTGTGCTTTTCTTCTCTCCAAGCCAATAGAAAGCTACAAAAAAATGAAATTTTCTGCTGAGTGACCTCTTTTCTATAATTTGCGACTACTTGGAATCCAGGGGAAGACTTTTGAAGGGGGATAGCACTTAACAGATCTATTTGTTTTTTGAGTTCTTGTGCATTTCATTTTGTTTGAGGAGAAATGACTGCTGGAGTTGAGAAGCAATTGCCTCACCCACTCTGTGTTTATTTATGGGGTCTTCTAATTAAACTGAGCTAAATGCTACGTGTCCTTTAGCAACACAAAATTAAAGGAATTTCCAATTAAAAGTAATAAGCGGGCTTCATAATGGGGCAAAATGATAACATCTATCATTCGCATGATCATATTCCATGCCAAGGACTTCACAGTGATTAATTCATTTAATTCTCATAACTGTGCCATTGAGTCAAGTGCAGCAGCTCATAGTATGGTAAAAGGAAAGAATAACTGGGATGAGGGAAAGGAGCAAAGAGGGAATATATATGCACAAGATAGCTAAGATAACTGCACTACTAATTTCTATTAGTTCACTGAAGGCAACAGTTAGTGTTTATATTGCTTGATCAAACTTACATGCCCATATCAGGTAATCTGAGAAACTACTTTGCAGATAACAATATGCAATATAACAACCATTGCTAATTTCCTATTATCTTGTTTTGACTGTGTTATCATTTTGCTTTTTACTATTGTCTTTAAAATTAAAAAGACACATTAATACCGTGTACACCAAAAAAAGCAGTAGCTAATTCTACAGAAATGGAGAAACCTAGGCTCAGAGAGGTCTGACACCTTTGACAATGTCACATAGTCACGATGCAGTGCAACTGAAACTCAAGTGTATTTCTGTTGGCATCTAACATTGCTGTGACTCCCTGGAAGCAATGCTGAAATTCTGTTAGAATGTCAGTTTTGTTTGCTCTTAGGATATCATTAGACCTAGGGAGTTTCTAGGCATGACTTTAAATGGCACTGATGTCAGTGGCTTGGTTTCTATCTACAACCCTAACGACTACCCTGAACTTTAGAGTTAAATGTCCAATACATATTCTCATGCAGAAGTTCCAAAATGGACCACCTTGCTTCATCTAGTCCATCTCAGTAAATGGCAGTTTGGTTCTACCAGTGTAAGTCAAAGCCACCAGTGAATGTTGGTTTATCCTTGGAAATACATGCAGAATTCAGGAACTTCTCTGGGACCAACCTCCACATTCTTACCTATTCCAATAGCCTCTAACAGGAGTCTTGGCTTCCACACTTACTGTCCAACATTCAGAATGGTTTGTGGACAACCCATATCAAATATGTCACCCCTTGAAATTCTGGATCTTTGAGACTTCAATATCCTAAGGCATCTGCATATGTATACCCTTCTCCCAAAGGAAAAACAGAGAAGACTACAAATACCCTCACTCTCACCCCCTACCAGACATCCTCAGTCATTAATCCCTAGAAGGATCCTATCAGGGTACGCGCGTTTCCACAGTAGGACATTTGCATTTATTGTCCCCACAGCTGATTCCCTCACCTAATCAGAGGGGACTCCTTGATGACCGTATAAAATAGCACATCTTCTAGGTCATAGGTGTGTGGGCATTCTTTATTTTTCAATATTTTCTTTAGAAGATTAAAATTTTTCAAATTAGAAGCACTCAATTCAAACCCTTATGGTTCCCAGGGTACTAGAGAGATTTTTGCTCTTGAGAAAAAGGATGAAGCTAGAGGTGGCGGTGGCTAGCTGTAATCCCAGGACACTGGGAGACTGAGAAGGATGACAAATTTGATCGCATCCTGGACAACTTAGGAACCTAATGAGAACTTGCCTCAAAATTATTTTAAAAATATAAACAAAAAACAGCTGGGGATATGGCTCATTGTGAAGGCCTTGGATTCAATCCCTAGCGCCACACACACAGAAAACAAAGGATGACAGAATGAGCAAATGTCAGACCAAAGTATACCTCCTAGTCTCCAACAGAGTAGACAGAAAGATGGCCTGGGGACAGTGGTCCTGTCCTATCCTTGGGCATTTAGAACTATGGTCTCAATTCTTATTTGGTCATTGCCCACTTAGTCAAGCAACTAATGTCACAACCTGATGGGTGGGTCTTTAAAATAATTATTTGCTTCAGCCATGTCACCAGGACAAGGTTTCCAGAGGATCTACTGGGCAGAAACAGGCTTCAAGTCAGAGTATCTGTTCTATTTATGACATGCTTGTTGAGGACTTTGTGCTTGTTTTATTTTTAAAAGTGGGGTCCAAACATTTAATTTTTATTAAGGTACCAGTGTTTACAGAGAGTATTATAATAAAAAAGAAAGTTGCTGTGTAGTTGTTCCAACACCGAGTGTGAATACATCTCATAAAAGTCTCACATAGGTTCATTTCCAGTGCACCTAGGACAGCTAATATTACCAAACCAGTGTAAAATAAGATCTGGTTAATGTTTCCCAAGGTAGACAATCAGGTCTCCTCATGTAAATCATTCTACAAACTAGAATCTGAGTCTGATAAAACACTGCCTACACAAAATTAAAATGAAGGCATATTACAATTAAATGGGAATTCAATGGTTTTCCTCCTTGGGTTTTACGTCTTTTCCAGCTCTCCACCTGATAATGAATGCCAAGTCGACTTTGCACGTGTTGATAATTTAAAGTAATCAGATCTCACCTAAATGAAACAAACAGCTCCAACATCATCAGTTTCTGTGACTTATTAGGATCAAACGTGTAGCTGTTTACAGACACCCCTCCTCCGTAAGGCCTTGGGGAAGCACTGGGCAGAGAACCATGAGATGCCTGCTTCTCAGCACACCTAGTGCTCGGGGTTGAACGGCCCACAGTGAACACACTGACCTTTCCCTAACACACGGGAACATCTGCAGACCCAGGGGAGACACTGAAAAACACTTGGAAAACATTTACCTGTCACTTTCAGAGTACCTTTATTTGCTGTCCCATTTCCTCAGTAATAGAGAGGGAAAATAATACCCAAGTGATGTGTCTTTGTTGAGAATTCTTTTTCCACTATGTGCCATGGCTCTGTACATTAAAAACAGATTCAGAAAAAAAAAAACAGACATCGCTTCTTGGGCTTTTGGCTAAGATCAAGTACAGAAAAAAAGCAGAACTTTCTACAAATGTCTGGAAAACACACAAAAATTATTCAGAATGATATTTACTTCACTTCCCGGCAGGTAGATTAAAATTCTGTATTGGGGTATACCAACTACCCTAGAATCCCACCTGGCTACTTTTACAAGAAAGTGTGACCAAGAGCCCAGCAGTGTACCTTTGGAGCTCAGATGAGACCTTTGCAAGTGGGTGGGCCACATGTCTGAGGACTCTCTAGGAAGAAGCCATAAGGGGCAGCAGTCCTGATTGTACACCCCTCCGCCACACACACACTTTCATCTGCCTGTCTAGCCCTGTCTTCTTATGGAGATCGTGAGCCCCACACCAGACTGGAGGATCAATTTGCAAAGAAAAAAAGACTGAGTGATTTCCAAAGTCATCTTTTCAATGTGTCCTCATACATTCCTCAACATCTCTTATGCTGAGTGCTGGGGAAGGGCATAACTCTAATTTCACCTTTGGTGACCTTGACCTAGAGCAAACCATCCAAAGCCCCCTCCCTGGCTTCACTAGAAGAAAGTTCTGTGATTTCACTGACCTATCCACTGTTTTCTTTTTTTTATGAGCAGAATATATTTATTGAGAGAAAGAAAGCTCCTGTCCAAAAGAGGGACAGGAGGGGGGCCTGAGCGGGTAGTTTCCCTTATCCACTGTTTTCTGTTCTTTGTGAATCTACCTGTTTTAGCTAAGAGGCCTCCAAGATTGAGGCCAGACTATGATAAGTACTCTTTCCCATTACTGGTCAGCTCTGAGGCAAGCCACATAGGAGTGGGGGAAACTACATGAGGGAAACTTTAAAGCCTTAGGATTTTAAAGCCCAGGAGAATTCTGCCCCAACTGCGCATGGTCAATGGAAACCCCAATAACACTAATGTTAAGATCTACTGATTCATATTTATCTGCTTTGAATGAGACAATGAATTTCCTTCTACGGCCAAAGTTGAAATTCTCTATTAACTGGTATTTCCCTGCCAGTGTATCTATTTGATATTACCCTGGAGGGGAGCAATTAATAATGGAAACAAATTTTCTATGGTTGACAGCATGACCTGACTTAAACATTTTAATCCAGAGAATGAGTATCTTTCTACAACTAGAATTTTTATTAGCAATCCATTTGTACCTCAGTTTCTGGAGAAATGAAAATTCTTATTAGGGCTAAGAGATGGTGGGTTCTGACCAGGTGTTTGATATCTTATCTGGGAGAAGAGGTAAGAACAAAGCACTTAGAGGAATGTTGGGAGGAGTGTATTAAGAATGAGTATGGAAGACACAAAGGGCAATGGCAGGGTTACATCAATGGGATTTCACACAGCAGATTTATTTTCCTCCCAAGACCAATCCCTCTTCCTCATGAGAATCAAAATTTCAAAGAGTAATGCACCTAGCTAAACCTTTTCCTTCCCAGACTCGAATGTAGTTAAAGGGAAGCCATATGACAGAATTCTAACCAACTGGTGTAGCCAAACGTGTCAGGGAGACCTCTGCTTTCATGATACAGACATTATACCTTGTTGACAGCCTCTTTCTTCTTCTTCTTCTGAGGTTTGGCAACCACCTTGCAACTACAAGGTAAGAAGTCAAAGACCAAGAATGAGGATGGTAGGAAAGAAATGCCTAAGAGTTCTGATGCCTATTGATACTACGGAGGCAGTCCTGGAGTGCCTCTCTCCCAGGTTTCTTATTCAGCCCTTCACTATTTGGGGAGTTTTCTGTTATTTGCAGTCAGGTGCACACAAACCTCAAACATCAATATCCAAGAACAATGAGATGGAAAGGGATGAGGACGATTCTGGGGAAAAGGAAGAGTAAAGACTGAAGTGAAGAGCAAGTAGGGTAAATAGAACCAACCACAGAATGGGCCTAAAATATAGCATAGCTCTTTCCTGCAGAAAAGACAGAAGCCCTGATGAATAGAATAAATGTGGCATTAGGTGTGACTAAAGGCCCAATGCTTAAATCAGCTATACAAAATTGAACTCTGTCCTTCTGTGCTGTAATTGCTAGTATGAAAGTGCACCCCTAGACATTAAAGCTGGATATTTTGCATCCTACAGAGAGGAGAATGGAACAGATTTAGAATCAATTTAGCATTTCTCCTCCAATCCACTTGGAGGAGTTCCCACTGAGAACTCATACACCTCATCCTCTTCACAGACATATCTAAAAAAACCTGAGAGGAAAAATAAGTAGAAACACTGGGGAGCCAGCTCTGACTCCTGCATATGCTACTTGGAAATTAAACCATGCTTGCTGCAAGCAGAGCACATACAGGCCACGACCCATGGAAAGTGCTGGACTGATCAATTATTAAGAATGCACAGGCAACAGCAATAAGTAAGTGAAGCAAATGCAATGGGGATGTAAATCAATACCCAAGTGTATGTCCCTCAACATAAGGATGCAGCCTCTCACATAAGAGCAAACAACATGCAGCACAACATGCTCCAGTAGTTCATAGTCCAGGCCTACAGGGCCGGTCAGTCCCAAGATGCTGGTCTGACATAGTAAAATGGTTTCTTCAAGGTCATCATGGTGAGCATCCATGTGTTGGCTCAAAACTGATAGAGAAAAAATAATGGGACATGGGCTGCAAACAGGAGCAAGAAATGGGACAGTCACGAGCAGACTCATGGGGGCAGACTTGCAGCTTTCACTCTGTTGAACTTTAATTTCATTTTCTTTTCCAGCAAAGTAAGTGCAACTGTCTTTAGTATGATTCAGTAACATAGCAGCAAATTTTCAAGAATCAATAAATAAGGACATTGCCATGCCAGTACCCCTTTGTCCTTTGGACTCAAGGTTTCACCTGTGTTCTGAAGTTACAAACATCAGCCTTGAGCAGAAGGGGTCAAAGCTTCTCCATTCAGCACTTGTTTTCCATGTTATCATATAAACCACATCATTTACACCCACCCACATGCCCCACAGCAGTTAGCAAACTCATTAAGAAACACAGCTTGAAACTCGTATGGGATTAAAGCTATAAAATGTCTATCATTGATGGTTTTGCTTTTAAAAAAAATGTTTCATCCTTCTTCCCCTCCTTTCAAACAAAGTGTTTCTGCTGCTGCCAGTGCATGATCTGTCACTGGTATCATAATGCATCATTTGTTTATTTCTTTTAAAATGATATAGTCAATGTTTTTTTCAAAATAATCGCCACTTTGTTGCTAATTAAACATGATGGATTCAGGGTCCTGGTTTGCCATCTGGGCCATGTGTCTCAGAACATCCTTTTTGGTGATGATGCCAAGAAGTCTCCTGCAGTGGAAAGAAAATCAGAGATCAGCCTTGCAGCATGGACCCACACCTTTCCATCAGCCCCAGTGCCTTTCCACCTGAGCACAGGGTTAGGTGAGGTTTCCCAGCATCCCTCATGGTTGGGAAAGGTCCGTGGACTCAGTTCTGGCCAAATGACCTAGAGGTGAAGGTGACAGATGCTACTCTCAGTTCTTCTGCACATCTCATTTGGTAGCCAGAGGCAGAGAAGACAGTGATGCAGAGAGGACAGACTGAGGGACAACTGATTTAAAAAAAAACAGGTCTATCCATGCCAGACTGTGTGGTCAAGAGCCTACACCTGCAACTCACAAATGCTATGAGCTATAAGAAAAAGAAAGCTGTACTACATTAGGCCACTGAGATTGCAAGCGTGTTCATTACAGCCGTAAGCTTATAATGACTAATACACCCTCCTAACTTCAAGACTATAATCAATTTAAAAAGTGCTTATGAGCCTGGCATGGTGGTGCACGCCTGTAATCCCAGCACTGGAGAGGATGAGGCAGAAGGATCACTGTGAATTCAAGGCTAGCCTGGATTACGTAGCAAGTTGAAGGTCAGCCTGAACCCCAGAACAAGACCCTGTCTCCCCCCCAAAAAATGAAAGAAGTGCTGATGTAAGCCACTGTCAAAATTTAACCACACCAAGAAATTCCAAGTAGAAGGAATTTTAAATGTAAAAAAATTAAGTGTGGGCCGGCCAGATAGATCAGCAGACTGAAGCACCTGCTTAGGTAGAGCGCAGCGACCGGGGCTCAATCCCCGCCTGCGTGCTGTGCAGGCCCTACCCCGGGGCACACTGAGACAGGGATTGAGACTGAGCATGGTGGTAAGTGCCTATAATCCCAGTGCTTGGAAGGCTGAAAACAGGAGGATCACTACCAGTCTGATCTGGTCTACCCAGTAGACCCTGTAGACCCTGTACTAAATATTTTTTTAAAAAATTAAGTATAAGATAAAATCGATTCTATTTGTAATTCGATTTTACTGGAAGGATAAAGTTAAGCATTTACCTCTGGTCATATATGCAAGTTACCTCCTCTTCCACAATTCCATTGGCTTCAATTTATAAAAACAATGTGACTTTTGCCAGTGTCTGTTGCATAGGACCCCCTCAGCTATGTACCACCCAACCCCTAGGAGCACCAGTCACAAACACCACAGTGCAACAGTGCTCTCAATTCCGTAGTGCCCATCTGTACAACTGTCCACAGCAACCTTTGATATATTGTTTTATTAAGCACTGCAATGAAAACCACAGGAACAAATCATGCCTCGCAGGCAAAGTGTAAGGTTTGATAGAAGATGACGTACATGACTTCTTTGAAATGTAAATTCTATTGGCAAATATGTTTGCAAACAACTGTTCAGTGTACCGCCATCACACCAAGAAAAGGAGAATCAGGAAGCAACTATAACAGTCTCACATAGGAATACTATATAGCTATCAAAATGACAGGCTTCAGAGGACCAACAGTAATAGGTCCACACCTGTAATCCTAGCTACTTCAGAGGCTAAAGCAGATCCTAGATGGCAAGTTTAAGTCCCACCTGGGAAACCTAGTAAGGGCCTGGGGATATAGATTGGTGCAAAAGTCCCGAGTCTAATCCCCACTGGTACTCACAAAAAAAAGACAGGTTATACTCTATGTCAATGTAAAATGATGATATACAAAAAAAAAAAAAAATTCAGAAAACACAACTGTAATACCCTGTCATCTTTTAAAGTTAAAAATACCAAAATGCACCTTTTACGAATAGTCATAAGAGGTGACACAAGTATTCCAAAGGGTATTCATATCAGTTACACCTGGTGAGAAAGTCAGGCTGTAATTCACACTTCTGTTTATTTGATCACATTTCACCTTGCACAACCTTGAAAATGTGATTTATTCCTTGTGTTTTCTTCCCCAGTTCTCGTCCTAGTTAGACAGGTGATAGAAAATACTGCCCCAGGGGCCAGGGAGATGACTCAGTGGAATAAGCGCTTCCCTGGCAAGCGCAGGGGCTGAGTTCAATCCCGGGTTTCACCAAAAAAAGAAAAGAAAAGAAAGTATTTCCTAAGATAAAAAGATCTCCCAGAGTAGTTTAGCAGATACAAAAAAGTTAATATATTAGGGCTGGTGAGATGGCTCAGTGGTCTAAAGCACCTACTCAGAACAAGCTTAGCAAAGCACAGGGACTGCGGTTCAATCCCCAGCACCACATGCCAGCCAGCCCCGCCCCCTGGTGGGCTGAGCTGGCCACACACACACACACACACACACACACACACAAAAATAAATAAAATTTAATAAATAAAATTTAAAAAAAAAGAAAAAGAAAATACTGCCCCTTCCCCTCCATCTAAGGGGAGCATCTTTAGGAGAGAGGAAAACAGCAAAAGGGGGCCTTTAAAAGCAGACTAGGGGCTGGTGAGATAGCTCAGCAGCCTAAAGTGCCTGCTTAGGCAAGCTTAGGCAATTTCAGGGACCACAGTTCGAATCTAGGTACCACATGCCATGCCAGCCCCACCCCCAGGGGCAGGCTGAGCTGTCCACAAAATAAGTAAATAAATAAACAAACAAACAAATAAAACAAAAAGAAACAAAAAGCAGGCTAAACGGCAGTGGGGGGGTGCTTGCTTGATTGCTAGCTTGACGAGAGTACAGAGAAGTGCAAAGGGGGACACAGCCAGGAACCAGGGGATTGTTTCCTCGGGCTGTTTGGGATATTTCAACTTTAGCCATGGCCATGCCTTACTTTAAACAGCTGTCTAAAATGTATCACAGTACAATAAAACTGGAGACACTCCAGAAAACAAGATGCTGCTCAACAAAACTTTTGTGTTGAATCTGAGTCTTTTTATTAAACACCCAAGTTGCAGTAACAAAATACCATAGCTGAGGTGGCTTAAATAACAGAAATTTAGATTTTTAGTGTCAGATCAAGGCGTTCACATGATCACTGGCTCCAAAGGCCACAGTCCTTGGGCTACAGAATGACAGTGCCACCTCTTGCTGTGTCTGTATGTGGCTTCTTCTCTGATCTATGTATTCCCTTCGTTTCTCCCTCTTCTTAGGAAGACATCAGTCCCATAGATTTAGGGCCCATACTAATAGGCGCATTTAACATGAATTGCCTCCTTAAAGGACTACATCCCAACAGTCACATGGAAGGCTAAGGCTTCCACCAAGGAATCTAGAGGTGGGGACACAATTCAGTGCATAGTAGTTCTTCAAATACCTCTGCATCGAACAGCTGCAAAAGGACAATGCCCTCTGAGTGCTGCCCTTTCTGCAGCAGGTAAAATTCCAGAAGATGTATGTGTAAGAACCAATTTATACTACCTAGCTCACTCCACAAATGTTGCTATAATCCTGAATGACACCTAAAGGAACCATATGCCACCAGTCTTCTTTGTAGTGAAATGCAGGGACCTGCCAGTTAGCTCAGTTGTTTAAGTGCCTGCTTAAGCAAACGCAGTCAGGTGCAGGATACTGTGGCTTGATCCCCAGATCCTCATGCCTTACCAGACCTGCCCTTAATGCATCCTGAGCCAGCCAAGAAAAAAAAATCCTTCTGTAGTGAAATGCCCACTTGGCCCAGGAATGTGACTATGTGAGTATGATCATGGCTGAAGGAATCCGGACCCTGCAAAGGCTCTGGTTGCCTCGCTGCTAAGTTCAGCAGGTGGCTCCTGAAAGCTTCTCCATCCTGATTTGCCTTAGCTGCTTGGGGTCAACTGCATAACAAGGGCAATTACATTCCCTCAGTGAGAGGTCAGCATTTTCTCAGGGCGCTCTTCCCAGGGCTTGGCCAAATCACCTGTTTCTGTGGAAGCTTCAGTGAGCGCCTGGCTCATTACAGCTGTCCTTCACCCTGGAAGCTCACAAGAGCAGCCCAGATCTGTGGACCTGCAGCACAATGGAGGCTCAGAGACCCAGGGAAAGAAAAGAGGCTTCCTCCTGGGATCCAGGTCTGATACATTTTGTCTTTGCATTGATGATGCTAATTAATTTCAAGGGAGCAGTAAATACACAGGGGAGGTGGCTCTCACATTGAGAAGGGCTACTGTGTAAAAGCAAACAGGCACCCCCAGGGAGGTCCCTCCTGCACAACTGTAGAGGTGAACAGCCCTTGCCACTATCATATCACTTTTACAAATCAACTGAGCTCATCACAATTCTTAACCAAGGACGACTATCTAACACCAGCTCTCCAGAACTTTTAATATCACTCCTACTGGGAGCTTTCAAATAAGAGTAGTCTAAGCAGAACATTGTAGCACATGACTGTAATTCTAGCACTCTGGGAGGCTGAGGCAGGAGGATCGTGAGATCAAGCCCATTCTGAGCAACCTAATGGGGCTGTCTCAAAATAAAAAATGAAAAGGATTGAGGGATGTAGGTCAATTTGAGGGCCTCAGATTCAGTCTCCAGGGGAGAGACAGAGAAAGAGGGCAGGATGGAGGAAGAGAAAAAAGAAGGGAGGAAAGTTGGGACAGGGACAGGGACAGGGACATGGACAGAGACAGAGACACAGAGACAGAGACAGAGACAGAGACAGAGACAGAGACAGAGACAGAGAGCGACCCTATATGGGTACACACACACCATGCTATCAGAACGGAATACAGAAGTTCCCGCATGGCCCTGCATCCTCAGGATGTCACTGCACAGGTTTCCCAACATGTTAGGAGTCTGGATCCTTAGAGATTGCTGCTGCATCCCTTCTCACTGCCCCCGATCTACCCCGCACTCTTACTGAAGGCTGCTGTATGGATGGCATTGATATCCTCTGGGGCCTGTGACTCATACCCAAAGCTTTTGATGGCTCCCACTCAGCACAGCTCTGCCTCTGGCAGCTGATCATGCTTTAAGAAATAGGACACCTTGGGGCTGGGGAGATGGCTCAGTAAAATAAGCACTTATCTGGCAAGCACAAGGGCCTGAGTTCAATCCCCAGTTCTGCAAAAAGAAAAAAAAAAAAAAAGAAAG